GAAGATTTATCTGTTTTCCTCAGAATTTAAAAGCTTACATACACACTATTGTTCAAAAGTTTCCTTCAGATATCCTTCATTCTAACATGCTTAATATTTATATTAATATTTACTTTTGTGTGTGTGTGTGTTAAAATTGTAATGCATTTTTTGTTCAGGATTCTTTGATCAACAGAAACTTCAAAAGAATAGCATTTATTTAAAATAGGAATCTTCTGTAACAATAAAAATGACTTGACTGTCACTCTTAATCAATTTGGGTTTTTGCTGAATTAAAGTATTAAGTTCTTAAATGGAAATCTGACTGAATGGTATATATAAGGATTAAATAAGTAAATTAAGTTAACAAAAAAATGAATTAAAATTAAATATTAAATTGATATTAAAATATAAACATATAAAACAATAAAAAAATTAAAAAGCCTTATAAAATATTCTAATGTTTTTTGTACAATTGAACACTCTCATGAACCATTTATTACGCATGAACTGTAAGAGACATTTTAATTATTTAGGGTGTGATGTTCTCTTTTCATGCATCTGTCATCAGTCAGCAAGAGTTCTAATTACATCTCAACTTCATGGATAGTTTGCATCTCCATTATCAAATGTCTCTCATGGTTTTTATACAGTCTACTGGCACTAAGAGCAGTTCAATGTTGAGTACTGCTTATCCTCATCCATGTGTTTGTTTGACACATGCAGCGCTTTAATCAAGTAGCAGGGTAACCGGCACTATCTTTTTTCCTTAGTCTTTTAATCATATTTGCCTGAAATATTATTTTTAGGCTTACCATTACAGTGGTCACAAATTCATAAAAACACTATTCAATTAACTGTATACAATTATAATTGTGTCCGACACCTGAACAACATATAGAAAGGAGTTATCTGTACATCTTTAGTAATATTAACATGTGTATATTGAATTGAAATTTGTGAGAGGAGGATATATTTATGTCCAGTTTTAACAGTGGAGGTTGCTCAGGCCGTCACCTTCAGGCAAAGCATAGAGGTCAAAGTTCAGTTTCGTAGAAAGGTTAACGGTCACCCACTCCTCCCACACTGACTGCACTTTACTCTGGCCATCACGCCAGGCCTCGACCCCATCACCGCCATCAGCCACATCTTAGGAATCTGCCGAGAGAGGAGACTAGAGGTCAAAGTTCAAGACCCCATGTGGGCGGAGCCACACTATTGCTCTCTTTCTCTCTTTTATACGTTTTTTTTATACGTACTGCACTTCTGCATGTCTTCAGAGACCTGAAGTTCAAAGCTACAGATGCTAGTGTCAGATAAAGCCATCGCATATAGCATGTATGTAAATAGTAGCATGCTAATACACATGTGCGAACACAAACCTCTGTCATTAAGGACCATTTTCTAAGCTTCCTGATCCTTCATCAGCGCCTTCCGCTTCATTCCTGATTGGCAGAAACATGCTGACCTCGGCAGACATCTGATTGGACGACACTAAGGTCTTGTGGTGGCGGTCTACAGTCTTTGTCTGAGTGTCTAGGGTGGATGTTTGTTCAGGTCTTTGATCGGTTCGAGCTGACAGGATGGGAAAAAATACAAAGGGACTGGTTAGCTGAAGTCTGAATAAACTGTAAGCATACACATTTTGGTCTCCATCCTCTAACCATCTAAATAAAACCTCCACATTATTATTTTAATAACTGATGAATGGCACATTGAGGTGAAAAACAAAGCCACTGGACGCCCTGCAAGATTTTTTTTATCCATTTGAGAGTTATGAATGAGTAAAGCTTAGTTCGGAAAGTATGTTTTTCATTCATTTTGCGTATTGTATAGAAACAGTGTCAATACATGGCACAAACTTACAGCAGCAGCCCATCTATGTATTATTGACTTTTTCTAATTACAGTTAACTAACTAATATATAGTATATTTATTTTTTTTATAAGATTTATTTATCTCGTAATCTCAACACAATCCTAATTGACAGCTTGCAATGAGACAGTTTTGTGTTATCACTTATGTTATAATGTCGCACTGTCCCCTGCTGGATAAGATATGTATTGACCTTCACAGAAAAGTTGTCTAATTGCGCCATATCGATATTAAGCATATAATAATAGATTATTCAGTTTAAAGTAAAGTTCGAACCACTTGATAATGTTTTTATATATAAACTCCATCTAGAATATTAACATTTAGGGTTCCAAGATATCACCACCTAATTTACGTATTTATGACCTATTTATTTAAATGTTACATTACATTCTATATGAGCATTCTGCTAATAGACATCATAAAAAAATATGTGCTATGCACATCTACAGCTAATTATAACCAATGATCATTAATGTGCTTTTTAAGTTGATGGAGACATATTTGAAACAAGGAATCTCAAAAATACCCTATTCAAACATTTTAAACAGCATTCGTGGAATGCTTTTTTTATATTTACATGTTATATATTCATATTTATATATATGTATATCTTTCAGCTATATGATGATGATGGTGACGATTAACATAACTAATAAACATCATTAGATGACTTTTCCCAAACAGCACTGATTACGTAATTAATATGCCACCCCTTACTGCCATGATCTGTATGACAGTGATGGCAATTAGTAAATATTCTTTGATGGAATAAAATACCAGTGCGACTCTGTGGCCTACAACGCCTCATCCAGGCATTTCCAGCATGTCAATTTCCTATTCATCCTCATGTGTCTTGCATCTTTTACATGAAAAAACAGACCATTTTTACTTACTCCAGCCTGAATGTGGTGATAATTGAGGTCTCGGTGAGCTGCACAATGAACTGATTTGAACTATTGTCACATGAAATGCTTCTCTGGTTAATTTGGAGCGAGTACAAAGGTTTTGTTCAGCATGTGAATGCATTTTATTGACTGGTCATATAGGGTGCACATTTCCTGAAGATTATTTTACGTGCTCGTTGGTTGGCCTTTCCCTGCTTCTTCTCTCTTTATAAGACTACAATTAGTAGTCAGTTTATAGTGGTCTAATAATTCCTTAGTAATGCATTAATATTTCAAGACCAGCCACCACATTAAGGGTTTAGTTATCAAATCATAGTGATTCGGAAAAGAAGTCCACTTCAAAAAAAGTCTTCATCTTCTGGCCCATCTTAAGAAACCTTAGGCACCTTTGGTAAGGACTTCTGCTCCTCTTTCAGTTGGACCTGTCACTCTGTTGCTATGAAACACTCGAGAAGGTCATTAGTGAATGAATGAAGGTGGGTGCTGTGTGTTAATATATTAAGTATGCAATGCTGTGAGTGCATCATAAGGAATGTCTTTGTGAGTATGTTTATTTGCACATGGCCAAATGTATAAAAACCCTGCGTTGTGCTTGGACTTCAGTGAACGATTGTAAGATGTCCTACTTCACTCTTCTCTTTTTAGCCCTCGGCACTCTGAGCAGCTTCATGCTAAGGGAGGTTACGGCTCTCAGATTGCCACTTCCTGATGACAGTGATCCTGATAGATTTACATGGGGACAGTTTCCTGAGGTAAGTGCTTTATACTCTTTCTTTTTCTTTACTTCCTTTACTATTTTGAGTTGGAATATACAGTATGTGTGGAATTGTGGATACAGAGTAAATTGTCATAGTCATAGTTTGCCCAAAACTTAATAGACTTTGATCTAAGTCTTCATATCTAATAGGACTGAATAAACTTGATTACATGGGGTTGCACCATGTCATTATAAAATAATATAATTTCAAGTGACTTAAAATAATGATGATGATAATTATTATTTTTGTTTAATATATAATATTAATAATATATAATATATTATAATATATATAATATTATTGAATATTTTTGCACCATTAAAAAGTTTTGTAATATATCATTTTTAATTTTTATTTTGATTACAATTATTTTTATTTTATTTCAATTATAAAATAATGTCGCACCATGTTATTTAAAAATAATAATATAGTTATAAATTTTATATTAATCTTACTTTTTTATTTAGATTTAAAATTTGATAATTATTATTGTTTTTATTGTTGTCTTTTATCTACATCTTCATACTGTGTCTATTGTTACTGAATAAACATGATTACATTAGGCTGCACCAAATTAAAAGAAAAAAAAGCAGAAATATTTAAATAAATAACAAATAAGCAAAGTTATAAGAAAGAGGTCCAGCTACTGTTAGTATCCATACTTCTTTGAATTTTAAAGTGGAAATGAGCAAATAAAAACATAACAATAAAAAAACAATAATAATTGTAAATTTGAAAAAATAGTGAATGCAACTTCTTAGTTTGAAAGTGACATCAGTGACTAGTGTATCAGTACAGTCCACTGATTACTAAATCTGCTGATTTTCACCATTTCTTCTTCTACATTTTTGTTGTCAAAGAATGCTCAAGAGATTCCCCGGAGTCTGGAGATAGAAGACTTCACTCTTAATGTAGCCCCAACCAGCACCCGTGTGAGCTCTCCCACCATCCTGCGACTTCACCCCATAATAACAAAACCAACACATGTGCATGCCAACCTCCCCCTTCGCTTCGGGCGGGATACAGAGATGACCCCAAGGGAACGCGCTAAATCCAATATCAACCTCCCTCAGCGCTTCGGCCGGTCCTGCACAATGTGTGCGCACTCAGGGACCGGACTCTCAGCCACCCTCCCGCAAAGGTTTGGGAGGAGGAACATATTCCCTTTAGACCCTTTCCGTGCATTGACTCTCTACACACGCACACCTGAATCACCATTTCCAAAAGAAAGGTGAACTTGAATATTTCTGGTATCAACTGAAACTGATTTTGGGTGATTTGTTTTGTATAATTGATATATAATGTATTAATTTAATTGAATTTCTAACAAATTGCTTTATTTGATTTCTCTCGCAGGACTCAAGTCCATGACTACATGCTTGAAACAGTAGAGGACTCTGTAGAAAAAATTGTAAAGAACACAGACTACACAGCTTTAGACTAACGAAGCCCACAAAACAACAGCTGTTTATGAGATATGTTTTGTTCACCAGTTTTATGAATTTCCTATTCTCTTCATGCATTTGCATCTGTACTTGCCTGCTTGTAAACTGTTTGAGTAAATGATGAATAACACTACACTAGTGACAGTGTGTTATTATATGTTTCAAAATAGGGTTTTTTTGCTGTAATGCCATTGGAGAACCATTTTTGGTTCCTCAAAGAATCTTTCAATCATCAGTTCATTCAAAAAAAAAAAAAATGTCTTTGTCTAAAAAAACATTTTATTAATCTAAAGAAACTTGTCCACTATAAAGAACCTTTTATGCAAGAAAAAGGTTCCACTGATGTTAAAAGTTCTTCATGGAACCATTCATGCTAATAAAGAACCTTTATGTTTAAGAGAGTTTCAACATCCAACACCCATAACTGCATCAATGTTCCTTTCGTTCCTGCATAAAAAGAGCCACTCAGCTTTCTCCTGCAAATGCACTCCGCACGGTACAATGCTTAATGAGGTTGAGGTGTTATAAATACACTCTTTAATTAACTGGAATGTTTGATGTTGATTCTCTACAAGATGGTCTGCATACAGGTTGCTGAGGAACAGTGTGTCATGCCATTTGCCCAATGATTTGCTAAACACACACACATCTAATCAAGAATAATGATATAATACACCTACCTCATATAGGTGCACAAGATGCAGAAGATATATGATCCCTCTCTGCTTTGCTTTAAGGTCTTATTTAAGTTTTCAACCAAGAGACAACCCAGCATTCCCCTGGACAGCGATTTCAACCTGCAGGGAACAAATTACATAAAAGAGAACTGGTGTTTGCAATATCAAAACCATTCCTTGCTCTCAGGTTTTTGACCTTCAGTATTCATCCTATGACTTAGATATCCATCACTAGTTTCACAAAAACTCATGAGGTGAAACTTCACACAACCTACATGCAGCAGTTCTCTTGCTATAATACAAACTATATAGCAATCTAAATGAAGTAGGCCTACATTATATCCAAAAGCATCAGCGATGTGCAAAACTGGTAAATGTCTAAACTGGATAACACATTATCAATTTTTTAGCCTTTTCTTCATAACAAACAGATTCCCTAAAATGGTGTTGCATTTACTTTGAAAAAAAAAAATCACTGAGAAAGTATTTAACTAAATTTCACAAATAAATACAAACTCCCACATCAAAAAGAGCAGTAGCAGTCAGGCAAACTATAGGCCTACAAGACAAGAGAACAAGAAAGAAAACTTACCATTTACAAATTTGATTGTCCAACAACTGAGCAGTTTACAGCCTGTTACAAATAACAAAACAGATCAACCACATTTTGTTACTAATAGATGATCCCCCAAATTCTAACACTGAAAAATTATTGTCTTGTAAAACATACTCCAATAATCTTTTAGTCTTATTTATAACTTAAATAACACTTTTTTTTTCCATATGTTCAGTTACTAAATCCAATGTTCCAAAAATACACGGGGGGGCGTTCATTTTACGCAGTGTTCATTTTACTGCGTTCATTTTACGCAGTGTTTCAACTAAACAGAAACTGAGAACTGGATTGGTGAAAGGTGTTGGCAGTTAGCCATGGCATTAAAACGAGTGAAATTTGACAAATGATAGTAACATACTTGAGAATTCGTAGCGCAGTAAATATGGGTGCACGACGTCTGTCATTTAATATAGGCCATCTAATACATTAAGATCAATATACAACGAATTTCGTTACGGTATTGTAGCTTAAGATAACTTTTAAATGTCAATATCTATTTTACGTTTACAGAACGACTTTAATCCACAATGTTTTATTCAATCGATGTTCATATGGATCCCGTATTCCGCGTTCATTTGAGAAAGAAGTCATTCGATTTCCTGACGTACATTTGCGTCCTTACAAAATTAATCGGTTGTGGCAATACTACACTGATAGTGTCAGATGGTACCATGGCACTTGTTTTACTTCAGTGAATATTTTTAAAATAGGTTTATTTTTGAAAGTCAATTTCTGTAGACAAAGATCCTTTCTTTTTGTTTTTTCAGATCCATCTGTTGTGAGCATTAAAATGGTAGAAGACACAGAAAAAGGAAAGCAGATCTTTGTTCATAAATGCTCTCAGTGTCACACTGTTGAAGCTGGAGGCAAACAAAAGTTGGTCCAAACCTAAATGGACTCTGGTCGCTTGACATTTCTTACTGATCAACTACTGCAGCTAACAATTCTCCAGTCCACCAGCAGAGTTCACTGTTTCCTCAGTAGTAGTTCGTGGTTATTGTAATAACTCAGATAAACTAATCACATATTTAGATTATGTAAATGCATGATATATGACTACTATCATATTCACATTTTGGGACATTTCATTGAATGTTTTGCATATCCATAAAACTTTAAGTTTAAAACCTGAGTGTTATTTTGATGTTTTATATAATTCATGCCATCTAATAACATGCCACAAATTTGGCTATTTAAAGTATCTTATAATCACTATGTAGCAAATGTATTGTATGTAATTAGCATTCTGTTATATTTTAGGCCTTTTTTGGACTCAATCCATTAGAACTGGAAGGGTGAATGAATGGAAGTGTTTCTGCTCATAAATGTCAGACTCTGTTCCGTGTCTGTGTGTGTTTTCTTCCCCAACGTGCTCCAGGTTATGTTTATGTCATTGATTTCAGGTGTTCCTCATTGTGTCCCTCCTCTAGTCCTGTATTTAATGGTTTCCTGTTTTGAGTTCGCTGTCCGGTATTGTTTATGTCAACCTCATCAGCTATGTGTGTTTTCCTGGTTCCCTTGTGTTGGATTATATTATTAAAATCTCCTTGTTAATGTTCTCCACGTCTCCTCGTTCCTCGCTCCGCGCTCCAACACAGTAGCACCGTGACAATAATCCACACAGACTCAATTTAATCCTAATTAAATCTTAATCTGTTTAACATTAAGTAGTCGTTTACACTTGCTGCATTTGTACATCTGTTAAAATAATGGCATTTTAGAAAACTAGTGCATATGTTTTACTAAGTGTTTTCCTTTGTGTTCATGCGTCAACCAATGAATAAAACAGAAAAAAATTAATACATTTATTTATAGTGATCTTTTCATAGATCTTTTCAAATTGTTTTAATTCTCTTAAGCAAAGTGTTTCTGACAGAGAATTTCATGATTTGTCTTGTCAAGTTTACTTCAATTTCCAAATAAAGTGTCTAAACTTCTACAATGGCATAATGATCAATATCACTATATAGACAAACAGACAAGGAAAAGAAGGCAAATAAGAAATGGCACACAAAAGCATCTGATGTCATATTTTCCGTATGCTGTACTTGTTGCCCACTGTCATGGGAAAGCACTAGTTTCAGTGCTCATTTCCCAGAGCTGACAACATGACGTCCATCACACTTCAGTGTTTAAAGTGCTGCACTCATGTGTGAATATGAATCTCTTTTAAAACATACCTGTGTCAGGTTCAGTGGTTTGGTACATTCCACTGAAGGGAGGATTCCCTTTCTAGTGTAGATGGGTGTTGGCAATGAACTAAAACCTTTGTCGTTAAGGCAACCCTGGGATGACATGCAAAAGAGCAGATTTGTCTAGCATAAATTAATCACAGCATCATGGATGCCCTATTCCTTTCGTAAGAACTTATGTTGACCTCACAATATACTTATATTGCCCACCCAATACCTGGTTATTCTCTGGGTTATTAGATGGTTCGATTAATTTGACTGTAATAGACAGACAGACAGACAGACAGACAGACAGACAGATAGATAGATAGACAAAAACACAGACAGACAGATGCCAGATAGATAGATAGATAGATAGATAGATAGATGATCTGCTTACCTAGGCGTACCTGAATTACATAATGGTCTCTGTTGTGTTTTAAAATGCCGTTTCTCGATAGGCTACATATCACGCTTCTATGGATTTTAATTGGTTTCCTAAACGTCAATCACAATTATGCCCCGCCCACCTCATGCTCGCCTCACCGCGGAACTCAAAACACAGTTCGAGGTTCAAACCTGAGCTGGAAGCCGTAAACTTAAAACCTGCGGTCTCCTCCACCTTCCGCTTCACTCTCGGATTACATCGGTGCGTCACGGACATTTCGTTCGCGATAACCTTCCCAGAAGCGAAGTTACCTAAGATCTGACTTCGACAGGTAGAAGAAGTGCGATGGCGAATCCGGTGACAGTCACTTGGTCCAAAGTATAAATGTGCTGATAAGGCGTTTTTAGAAGTGGACCGTCAGTGACACGAAGACAGAGCCGCTGCGCCACGCTGTCACTCTGAACCTGGCAACCGCGGTAGGCGCTGAGTTTGTGTTCATTTTACGCACGGAGACATTTAAATCTGTCTTTGAATTATCAAACAAGTCCTAGCTTGTTGTAAGAGAAGTATTGTAACTGTGATTCATAGTCACTTTTACTGTGGGAAACCTCTTAACAGTCAATGGATATACATCCGAGCATAAATATGATTATAAAAGTGCGTTTTGTTAATACTGCAGCCCTGATCACCAATCATCGCTTGTTGTTTGTTTTGAGTTTAGTGTCTGTCGTCTTAGAAACCCTTGAAAATTCTGTTTCCTGTTCTCATCATGGATAGACTGACTCATCGATGGGCCTAATTTTACGCCGCTTTTGATCTCAGGCGGCTTTGCAGTTCGTGTTGAGATGTTTAAGTTTTTTGTTATTGATCTGTTTGGTCAGTCATCGTCGCATCGCGTTGCTGTGGCAACGAAAATGGATCTGCATCGCGTACAAGCGTTCAAGTGGCGCCTGGAATGCAAATGTTCTTGTGTAGTATAATCATTTTATCCTTTATGTAGATTTTTTGTTATTCATTTAATTGGGTACAACGTCAAATGTTGCTCCCCATAATTATTATCAAACTGGCTATGGTGTAATGTGACTTTAATGGAGCCAAATTAGACTTTTTAAAATGTTTGTATTGACTTAAAGCGACAGTAACGTTACACCCTAAAATGAAACTTCTGTTTCTGTCGTCGTTTACCATATTGGTATGGCTTCCTTCTTCTGTAGACAGAAAAGCATATGTTTGGTAGAACAGCCTCAAGTCACTATTCGCTTTCATCGTTTTTTTTTTTTTTTTTCTGTGCAATGAAAGTGAAAGGTAACTGAGGTTGCCATTCTGCTTACTGTCTTATTTTGTGTTCCACTTTAAGGCTGCAAAATGAAAATATTCTGTTGTATAATAGTTTTACCTCTCATTTTATGTAGTTTTTAGTACCATTGATTTGGTTAATTATTTATTTTTAGACAACAAGGAACATTGTCAAACATTGTTCCCCATCATGTCATCACGATCACTGTAGTTTAGTGGGACTTTTTCAGAGTGCTAAACGTTAGGCATTACATGTTTTGAATTGAATTATGTGGCTTATGGGTTGTTTCAGTAGGTTTGTTTTAAATGTACTCATACACAACCATAGGCTAAAGCAAATTGCTTTATATTTTACAGCCTAGGGCTAGGGATGGGCGATATGGGCTTTAAAATATATCACGATAATTTCAGATGTTTACTGCGATAACGATATCAATGACGATAATTTAGGGAATCCTGTTTCTTTAGAGAAAAATATTATCTTTCCTATTTTTACCCAAAATAGGGTGTTGTGAGCAGTACACACGTAATGTAATGACTGTTTAAAA